GCAGACATCCATAGCAGCAGTTTTCAACTAGGAATAATTTTGCCCCCCAGGGACATTTGGTAATACTGGAGATATTTTTTGGTTGTCATACCTGAGCGGAGGGAGTGCAGCTAGCATCTTGCCACGAGGCAAAGGATACTGCTGAACGCCCTGCAGTGCCCAGGACAGCGCCCCACCACAGAGCGCCGCCAGCCCAGAGTGCCGGCAGTGCTGGCGTGGAGACACCTGATTTGCAGTAACGAATTATTATTCCACTATACCCTATCAAAAAAGCAACCACTGCCATCCCCACCTCTTTATCTAACTTTATTTTTCATGATAGCCTTTGTTTTGTGTGGCATTAAATCTATTCTACATTTATTTGCTTGTTATCGTCTCTCACAGCCGCTAGAATGTCAGCTCCATGAGGACAGAGATTTTTGTCTGTTTCATTCACCGCTGTTTCCTCAGCACCTTGAACAGCACCCAGCACCCGGTACGCAATCTCTAAATATGTATTCAATTTCGTTATTAGCTGATTAAGGTGTAGACGTTTCCTGAGCCATTACTACATGCCAGCCAGGGTGCTGGGTTATCTCATTTTGATACAAAAACCCTCTAAGGTAAGGATTAGTATCAGCCTCTATTTTTCAGATAAAGAAACAGAAGAGGTTAAGTTACTTGCTGAAGATCACACAGCTCTTAAGAGGACAAAACAGGGTCCTTTCTCAGGTGACCCAACCAGAGTTTATTTCCTTAGAGAAATGATTTCTTTAGAGAGGATGTGTCTCCTGTGTACCAGGCAGGGTGCCAGGCAATGAAATATGCAGATGAAGAAAACACAACCCCTGTCCTCAAAAGTCTGTAGTCCATGGAAGAAACAGGCAAGTAGGCAGGTAGTTATGATGTGAGTCACTGCAGGGGGAGATGAGGGGTAAACCAGCCTTGACAAATCAGGGAAGACTTCTCAGAAGAGGTGACATCTGGGTCAGCTCCTGAGGGACCAATATTAACGAGTCATGGAAAGTTCTAGGCTGGAGGAGCAACACATGCCAAGTTCCAGATGAGAAAGAGCTAGAAGCTGACTGTGGCTGAGGGCAGAGTAGGGCAGGAGACGTGGAGACAGAGTAGCAGGAGAGGAAGCTCAGGAATTGGCTCAGCAGCGGTTAGTCCTGGAGGCCCTCAAGTAGGACAAAGGAGTTCAGACTTTATCCCGAGAACCAGGAAGGGGCCTTGCAGGGTTTCGAGCTCGCTGGCCACAGTGCTGAACAGGAACCAAAAGGTGCTACTGCACTGGTCCACGCAGGGAACACTGGTTGCTCAAACGGGGCCAGTGCTGTGGGGTGGGAAAAACGTGGTGGCCACAAAAGAGAGTTGCAGGGCAACATCCATGAAACTGGGGGACAGGACCCTCGGGATATCTGAAACAGGGGGCAGGCAGGACAGCGATCAGTTTTCTAAAAGGTTGGTGAGAACAGACATGTAATAAAAGGATATAATAAGAAACAACCATCACTGGTGAAATGTTGCAGCCCCACCCAGCTCCCAACCTGTGGGTGGTCTCACTCAGGTGCTAAGGGGACAGGGAAGGCAAAATAAGGATGCATCCTCTACCGTCATCTTCCCTACTGGGGGCCGTGGCTTTCCACAGTCTATGTGGCCCTGGGAGTGTCCTGCTCATTCATTCTGGCCTCACAGGCTTGTGAATTTGCTCTGTTCTGCTCCTTTAAAGGCAACTGGCTCTCCAGGTGGTCATGGGGATGGAGTCAGCCATGTCCTCAACAACACAACTAGAGGATGACGTTCTGCGGGCAGCTACAAGCCTCCGTCAGGAATAGGAATGCTGCGAGCACAATCCCACTGCAGGTTACGTGCAGCTCCTGGTGCAGCTGCTACACCCCAGGGCATGGTGGGATTGACCACCCTGGTATAAGAAGCTGCTGTGAATGGCCCCTCCTTGCTCCATGGCCACTATGCTTTTATCCAGGTGGCTCAATTTTTTGGTTTCCACCTATCCTCAACCCCAGGATGCCCCTCCAGGTACAGGGCAGAGGTTGGCCAGGTATAAGAGAAATCCAACGTGTTCTATGTGTGTGGCAGACCTTGGCTAGGCCTGGAAGATAACTTTGCCCCCACGGCTGGGGCCACATCCTGGTCATCCTTACAGAGTTGCAATGAGGCTGTGCATATTTGATGCTCATTGGTGACTATATAACCTGTGGACAGTGTAGCAGGACAGCACTGAAGCATTATTAAGAAATTGTGGCCGGGCGCGGTGGCTCACGCCTGTAATCCTAGCACCCTGGGAGGTCGAGGCAGGCGGATTGTTTGAGCTCAGGAGTTCGAGACCAGCCTGAGCAAGAGCAAGACCCCGCCTCTACTAAAATTAGAAAGAAATTAATCGGCCAACTAAAAATATATGGAAAAAATTAGCCGGGCATGGTGGCACATGCCTGTAGTCCCAGCTATTCGGGAGGCTGAGGCAGAAGGATCACTTGGGCCCAGGAGTGTGAGGTTGCTGTGAGCTAGGCTGATGCCACGGCACTCACTCTAGACTGGGCAAAAGAGTGAGACTCTGTCTCAAAAAAAAAAAAAAGAAATTGTACCTGGAAACTAGAAGTGAGATCAAGATTTCATTGCTTCATTTTTTTCAACCACATAAATTAATTGTGTTGGATTTTAGAAGGTGGGACTGGGGACCTGAGAGCTTAGGCAAGTCCCACTTTTGAACCTCCCAAAACCTGACATCTCTCACCCTGGCATGGCAGAACACCATCAGTAGGAACTGGGAGATTCTAGAAGCCACTTCTGCATAACATCCTCACTGTGATCCCTCGATGAATGCTTGCTGACAATGTAACCTATGCGCTTCTCACACTCAAGGGTAGCTGCAGCTGGATGTAGGCGAAAGGCTCAGGTTCACCATCCTCCCACCAAGGCGTCTGCAGGACCACTTCAGCATGTCACTGCACCAGACAGGGTGGCAGCCACTTGGCTCTCTGTGGGCATGCAGGCGCCCAGAATTGCCAAAATCTCTGCAATTTTAAGAGTAGCCAAAAATCTGGATTTTCATGTGAATGTTTCTGAATTTTAAAAGAGATAACTAAAAATTTTTAAATTAAAAAGCAATAACAAAACCAAAACCAAAAACTTGACACCATGTGGCTAAACACTATCTGGACCAAACCAAATCACATAGACTTGTCAGTCACGGCCATGGCCCACCAGCTCCAGGGCTCCTCTGTACTAAAATTCTGCTCTCATATTGTAATCAGTGCTATAACTCGTGCCCGGGGTGACAGTCCTGTCTACCTTCAGAACACTACTTCCCCTGTCTGTGAAAGACAAATCACCGCCACCTTATCCCCAGCTGAGCATGTCCCTGGGACTTTCCCCGTGAGCCCATCCCAGTCCCTGTCCCCCACCTACCTCGGAGATGGAGCCCGGGCAGAAAGGAAGAACCTACACTCCTCTTCTGTTTGCTGCTTTGCTCTCCTCTCCTGGTTTTTCCCTGCAGGCCACACTGTTTTTAGAAACCTTTCCTTTCATACACCACCTGCTACGGGTCACTGACAGCACGTTAGTACTTTCGTTTGTAAGGCTCAGCCCTCTGGGATGGCATCTGTCACATCTGCCAGCCTAGTGACACTGCCGAGAGAGGAAGGTGCTGGGTCTGATGTGACCTGTGCTTTGTCACTACACCCCCGTGGGAAATCACGAACTTCCTCCAAGTAGGCGTGGAGGTGGCTTGACCGAAGCATCATCTCTCCTCTGAGCTCTGCCTGCCTCATCCAAAGCACATGGTCCCTTACGACAGCGACTGAAACAGAGCCTGGGGTGGACAGCTCTGCTTTCTCACCGTCACTCCCCAGCCTTACACCTCCATGGGCCGGTCCCATCCACCACGGCTTGTCTTCTTACCTGATATAACATGCTAAAAGCCCACCCTTTTGCTGGTATCTACGGCTTTCACGAGACTCAGTTTATTTGAGCTTCTAGCCTTCTTGATGTTATTCCTACAAATCTTGCCTTCAGACACTCCTTCCATTCGTTTATTCAGCCAGTACTTACTGAGCACCTACTATTTGCCAAGCACAGGCAGTCACTGGGAATAAAACGGTGAAAAATTAGACAAGGTCCTTGATCCAATGGAGGGTCTGTTTTACTAGTGGAGACAAAAACCAGTAACTGAACATGGAACACCTGCTCTGAAGACATTGAAACAGGACGGTGTGACAGAAAGGATGCAGACAATCCAGTAGGCAACTACTTAAACAGGATGATGCCAGAAGGCCCCCACGGAGAGAAGACATTTCAGCTGAAACCTCAATAAAGCGAAGAGGCCAGTCATGCACAGATCCGGAGGAGGAGCAGTTCTGGCAGAGGGGACAGCAAAGACAAGGCCCTGTGGCAGGAAGGAGCTTAGCATGCGAGGGGAACAGAAAGAAGGCCAGATGGCTGAACTTGAGTGAACTTGAGGCTGAGACCAGGTCAGGGGAGGGCAGAGGCCAGATCCCCCTGGGCTTGTAGGTCAAGGTGAGGGCTGGCTCTTGTCCTCAGAGCGTCAGAGGGCTCTGAGCAGGCCAGTGCTGAGGCCCACAGTGATTTCGTCTGAGGTCAGCGGGCCTCTCAATCCTGACTCACGTGTGGCTCTCTGTGGTGCCACAGGCGTCCTGAAGGTGCCCCACTTCCTTCCTCAGTAGCATTTGCACAATCCGAATTGCACTGTCACCCAGGAGCCCAGGCAGGGGTTTACCCCTAGGTCAGTTACCATGAACCAGCCGTCCTCCCGCCCCTCTGCCTACCCCCCACGGGGCCTCAGTCTCTGCATCTGTGAAGTGGGCACCTGCAACCAAATGGCGCTGGCCTTCCCAGTTCTGTCAGTCTAGCCCTGGGTTCTGACTGAAGAGGATGCAGGGAAAGCGGGATCCCGGCAAGAAACGAAACTGAAAGTAAATACTCCTCCAGGCTCCAAGGATGCCGGCAGAGGTGGGGGTCGGGGGAGTAGGCGAAAGAGGAGGGAGATTTTTAGAAAGCTGAGCGGGCAGGGGCCCTGTGACCCAGGCTTTCACTTCTCCTAAACACCAGGCGCACCATGTGACGCAGGCCGGCCACAGGGGCGAGTGAAAGGGGAAGCCAGGGGGAGCCCAGAGTTTCTCAAGAAGTCAGAGAGGGCCAGGCTGAGCCGGCAGGGCTCCGAGGGGAGCCAGGAGGAAGGGGAGCTGAGGCAGTTGGGGACAGGGAGGAGACAGCAGGGCCAGCGGGGGGCCGGCGGGCAGAGGGAGCCCCCACCCCAATGCAGGCCATGTGTCTTTAGGAAAGGGGACAGGATTTAAGAAAGCGAGGAAAGAGGAGAGGGGTGGAAAGTGGGGGAGGGGCGGCAGTGTGGAAGGAGGGACAGAGGGGTCGGGTCGAGGAGGACAGGGGAGAGCAAAGGGAGAAACGGCTTGGGGCTTGGGCGAGGGGAGCTCGCATCCGCCGTGGGAGGAGGGGAGAGGAGAGTTGCGAATTAGGGGGAGGTGGTAGAGTCCTCGCAGTGAGCGGACGACCCAGGTAGAGAAAGGAGGGGAGAGGCACAGGGGAGAAGAGGGGTAGAGGGGAGAGAAGGGTGGGCGAAGGGGTGAGAAAGGAGACAGCTAGTGGGGAGGGGAGGGGAGTGGAGGGCGAGGCCTGGGCCGGGCTGAGGGCTGGGAAGGTGGGCTAGAGAAGAGCCTCGGGCAGGATGCCCGCGCCGCGCGCCCCGGGGGAGCCCCGCGTGTCCGGGGAGCGCCGGCCACTGCTGGCGAGCGGCGCTCGGGGCCCGCGACGGCGGCGGCGAGCGGCGGGCGCCGCGGTGCTGCTGGTGGAGGCGCTGGAGCGCGCGGCCTTCTTCGGCGTCTCGGCCAACCTGGTGCTCTACCTCAACAGCACCAACTTCAACTGGGCCGGCGAGCAGGCGTCGCGCGCCGCGCTCGTCTTCCTGGGCGCCTCCTACCTGCTGGCGCCCGTGGGCGGCTGGCTGGCCGACGTGTACCTGGGCCGCTACCGCGCCGTGGCGCTCAGCCTGCTGCTCTACCTGGCCGCCTCGGGCCTGCTGCCCGCCACCGCCTTCCCCGACGGCCGCCGCTCCTTCTGCGGCGAGATGCCCGAGTCGCCGCTGGGGCCCGCCTGTCCCTCGCCCGACTGCGGGCGCAACTCGCCCAGCCCCTACTGCGCGCCCACCCTCTACGCCGGGCTGCTGCTGCTCGCCCTGGCCGCCAGCTCGGTCCGGAGCAACCTCACCTCTTTCGGTGCTGACCAGGTGAGTGGCAGGAGGCCTGCCCCGACGGGAGGCCCTGGGGGTGTGGGGGGAAAGCAGTGGGCCTGGGCTGAGAGCCAGGAGGCAGGAGGTGTTGGCCCCCAGCGTGACCTCGGACAAACCACTTCCCCTCTCTGCTCCCAGTTTCCTTGTTTGAAAGAAGAGGAGTGCGAGCCCTGACAAAACCGATGGCAACAGCAGTGGGAATAACCACAGCTGGCCTTCTCAGAGCTACGCCCCAGGCCCCACAGGCCAGCCCTAAACACTTGCACCATTTTAGCTCATTTAATCCTCTTCACTACCTGTGAGGTGGGTAGTATTATGCCCATTTTACAGAGAAGAACTCTGAGGTTTCATGGCATTAATCAACTTGTCCAAGGTGACGCAGAGGGCCCCACCACAAGCCCCATGTCTCTGTGTTATAGGGTTCTGGGGACCAGGGCAGGAGCAAGCCAGCCTCTTCCTACCAGCAGTGCCAGAGGTTGTCAGGTAGACTTGTTCAGATCCCAGCTATGCCCCTCACTGCCTGGGGGCTCTTGGGCAAACATCTCAACCCCTGAGCCTTTCTCTGTTCCCCCTTGGACAGAGCGTTCCCCCTTGGACAGAGCGTGGCACGTAGGAGAAATTCAATAAATATTTGCTAAATGAATGAGTAAATGCCGAAAAACATGGCTGTATTTTGATAGCTCTACCAGCGGGATATTAGACAATAATTTAGATTAATATGTAATATTATTAAAACAACCACATATGGTGTTAATGAGCAAAAGCAGGATGTAGAACTGCATACAGATGTGAGTACAGCCATGTGAAAAGGCTAGGTGTCAACCAGAGTGGAGAAACTGAAGAAAGATAGTAACGGTAGTGTGGCCAGGCCGCTGGGCTTAAGCGCACTTCTCCCCTCAGTGACTCTGTTTTGCAAATATTCTTTAACTGCATGTAGTACACTCATGGAGGGGACATGTTTTAAAAGGATCATTTCATCCAACAGCATCCACAGTCCAGCACTCAGCACAGTTTCCGTTGTCCTTGCAAAGGTGTCACTCGTCCAGCCTTTTTAGATTCGTTTGACAAGGGGGTCTCTGTGCCTCCAGGGCGGCTCTGGCCATTTCTCATGCACTGTTGACCCTCCCTCGGACAGGAGACCCCAATAGTTGCCAGTAGGAATCTCCCATCTTCCCTTAATTCTGTTCTCTCGTTGACATCCCACTAGCGAGGGCCCCCATCCCAGATACCCTTGACCTGTGCCCTTGACCTCACTGACCTCCAGAGGGCCTCAGCCTTCCTGTGCCCACTGTGGCCAGAACTGGTCTCCCTCACCCTCCCGTGGCATCAACAGTGACGGCAGCTCCAGTGCGTTCTTCCATTTACCAAGCACGGACTTTGGGCGGAGCAAGGCCGGGCTGGAAGCCTGCTTTAAAAAGTCAGGCCCTGAGCCCAGGACGATGCAGAAACACTGACGTGGTTTGAGGCAGGGATGGACATTGCTGGATTTGCATTCTTTAAAAATGGCTCTGGCTGCAGTGGAGAGAGTGGATGGGCTAACAAGCATGGGTGCCCCAGCGCGGTACGAAGGCCGCTGCAGGGGCAGATAGACAGGGAGGCAGGTGGGAGGGAATGGCACCATCTGGCAGACAGCTCTACCCAGGAGCTGCGTGTTTAGCACACTTGCTGATTTCAGGAAGGGCCATCCATCATTCTCCACAAAGTGTCTGCTCATTCTGGAAGAACTCATTTATATCCTGAACTGCTGCCTGGTCTTCCCCCTTAGAGTTACAAATGTCATATTCATTTACTTCCAATTAATAAATGGAAGTGGCTACTCATAATGGGACTTATTCAATTTTCTGCTTGAACGTCTAGAGCCGGGGTTCTCAGCTGGCATGCCGTTCCTTCCTGATCACCAAGAGGACCCCTCAAAATCCCCACAGCAATGCAGTTTTAAGCACGTCCGTATGGATTATGGTTTCACATTTGGAAAAGAAAAGAAAATGCTTATCTTTTTCCCAATGTAACTGCAGAAAGTAAAGCTTGCCACAGTCTTCTTAAGTAGTAGAAATATGTATCTCCGAATGAAAGACGGTAGTGGATTCTGAGATTTGGGGGGTGATTGAAAGGGTGACAGGTTTAACAATGTAGAAAATCTTTTCTTTGCTCCATTGAGATGACCCTTAGCCTTCACTGCTTTCTAAAAATGTGGGTGCCCAGGCCTGCCCCCAGACCTGCTGAGTCAGAATCTAGGACCAGGGTCTGGGAGAGGTGGGGCGGCCCGTGCGGCTGACCGGAAACCAGCAGACCAGAAGGGGGCCTGGGGCCTGACTGTTGCCGATTGATCCAAATCCTGGGTAAAGATTTTCAACCCATCTGCCCTTGCCGGGGGGCCTGAAAAATTTTTTGCATATGGCAGAGGGAGGCAAGTCGGGGGGAAGGGGTGGTCAGAATAGAATGCTCTGCTTGCTTCTCTAAACTGCAGAGGACATTCTCAGTTAGACTTCTCACTGTTCCTTCAGTAATATGCATACATCACATTTAATATGGTGGAACAGAACTGAGATCTTTATTGGCTTTTTTCTGATTATAAGAGTAATGCATAGTGTAGGTTGCTCAAAGACAAAGGGATAAATCAACCAGAAATGAACAAAGTGGCATCAGAGATATCTATTGTGTGCACTCCTCGGTGACAATAAAAAATCAACGTGTCCTGGGTATGCAAAAGCAGCTGTGCCAAAATGTCCTGATCGTTAACAAGTGACTCCCCGAGAGAAGGGTTTATTCATTCATTCAACAAATATTTATTGAGCGTCTATTTAGTGATCAGAGACTAGGAAAGTGCAAGAATGCCCACTTGCTGACCCACAAAATGTCTCCCTCCCTGTGGGAGGGAGAGGTTTGGGTACAGAGGGAGCCCCTGGGCCTCCTTGGCCCTCACTCTCACCCCTTCCTGGCTGGCAGGTGATGGATCTCGGCCGCAATGCCACTCGCCGCTTCTTCAACTGGTTTTATTGGAGCATCAACTTGGGCGCTGTGCTGTCGCTGCTGGTGGTGGCTTTTATCCAGCAGAACATCAGCTTCCTGCTGGGCTACAGCATCCCTGTGGGCTGTGTGGGCCTGGCGTTCTTCATCTTCCTCTTTGCCACCCCCATCTTCATCACCAAGCCCCCCATGGGCAGCCAAGTGTCCTCTATGCTTAAGCTTGCTCTCCAAAACTGCTGCCCCCGGCTGTGGCAACGGCACTCTTCCAGGTGAGCAGGGGGCTCTGGGCGCAGGGAGCCTCCATTCCTGGAGCGGTGCGTCCTTCTCCTGGGGAGGCATGGTCCAGATTGCACGGTTCTGGTTCAGCTAGGTCCAGTGGCAGCCCTTTTTGATGATCTGCTCTCCAGTGGGCCAGAGCTGTGACTGAGGAGAGCAGTGGAGGTCAAGGTGGTGGTGGTGCTGGCGGTATTATTGGTGACACCCTAAGTATAGAAAGTGTGAGGATGGTCATGGTCTTGACAGCGATGATGGTGGTAAGGATGAGAGGATGGTGGTGTTGGTCCCTACAGTGAAGACAAACACTGGTAACGGGGATGACAATGGCAGTAGAGGTGGTGTTGATGGAGACGATGGTACCAGTGAAGGTTGCTGGGGTATAATATGAATCATGCTATGCTGCCCTGTTATTAAGTATAACAGAGTGTTGGGAAATCGGCCAAACTTGCTTCCTCCCCCATTCGTTGACATCCAAGGCGGGGAGATTCTAAATGGCCTTGCATGAACACAGTGGCTTCCTTTTGCCCTCTCTTTCCTAAGTTAATTGACTACTCGTTCTACACAAATCTGTCCCCAGACGTTGGAGCCAGTTACAGCTCCTGTCAATAGGCTCTAGATGAAAAAGCTGAAGAACATGCCTCTCCCAATCTGTTATATTGCTGGAGGGTCTGTGAGTATAGTCGGCAGGTGTGTCGTTTTGATTATCTGTCGTTGCTTAACAGACCATGCCAGAGCTTAGTGGCTTAAACAACCATCTTTTTATCCCCTCTCCCAGTTCTGAGGGTGACTGAGCTCAGCGGGGAAGTTCTTCTGCTCCTCATGATGTCACGGGGGCTGCGGTCATTTGAGAGCCGAAAGGGCTAGAACATCTAAGTCGGCTCACTTACATGGCTGGCAGTCAATGTGGGCCGTCACCTGGGGCTGAAACTAGAGCACCTTCGTGTGGCCTTGCCACGTGGCTTGAGCTTCTCACAGCATGGTGTCTGGGTTGCAAGAGGAGGGAGCTTTGCAAGAATGAATGTTCCAGAGGGAAGAAAGCAGAAGGGGTGGGTCTTCTTAAGGCCATTATGAGGCTTAGAATTCCCAGAGCACCACTTCTGCCTCATTCTGTTGGTCAGAGCAGCCACAGGGCTGGCCCAGAGTCAGCGGCAGGGGAAATAACCTGGACCGGCTGGTGGCAGAATGGCAGCACATACCGGCAGGGAAGGAGTTGACAGTGGCTGTCTTTGAAGATGAGCATGCTGCTATTGTCCTTTTGGAATCTCAAAGGATGGTGCAAGGCTCTTGGACAAGAAGGGGTCAGACACCTCTCAGGACAAAGGGCAAAGGTGAAGTTTGCAGCAGCGGTAGATCTGTCCCATCTCCTGGTGACGCTTTCCCCCATCCCTGCCTCTTGTGCAGGGGGAGGGTTATGATGTTGACTGCCGAGGAGGATGGACTTGGGGACGGCAGGCAGGGGAATTCTGGTGTATCGAATCTGTGACAGCCTAGGAAAGTGCAAGAAGTCAGGCTTGGACTGGGACTCCCCTGGTTGCCATGACAAATGGATGCTATGAGCAAAAATATCTCTTAAGCCTCCGCTGGCCACAGTCCGTGGTCGCACTTCCTCCAGGGCCCACAGGGGCCACCGCTCTGCAGCGGGATGGTCTTTCCCAGCCGCCTTTGCTGCAGAAGAGATGACAGTGGCAGTGTTGGCAGCAGTAGTGCCAACACCGAGAGACTGACAGTGACAGTGATGGAAACTCTGTGGAGAGGGGGCTGTGGTGACAGCGACCGCCTTTCTAAAGGTGGTGGTAGTAAGGATGCTGGCTTGGGTGACAGTGACGATGGTGGCAAAGGTGATGGGAACAGTGGGGTGGAGGAGATGAGGTGGTGATCTCCGGGATGCTGGCTGTTGGAAGTTCCAATACTGGGAGGGGGACTAAATTAGGGGACACTGGTGGAGGTGAGAACGGTGGCCCTGGTGGTGGGATGATGATGGCTGCCTTTTATCTTCTGCCCCTGTGGTCCCCCAGAGACCCTCAGGGCGCCCACCTGCTGCCTGACCAGGGGTATCCCCAGCCTAGGCCGTCCCCCCAAGAGGACATTGCCAACTTCCAGGTGCTGGTGAAGATCTTGCCCGTCATGGTGACCCTGGTGCCCTACTGGATGGTGTACTTCCAGGTGAGCACCCCTGCCTGTTGCCCTGGGGAACCTGGCTCCCCACTTGCCTCGCTGGCCTCAGTTCACATCGTAGAAGCCTGGAGCATGTGGGAAGCAGGGGAAGGTGGGGACAAAGTGAGCTACTGCTACGTGCCAGCTGGCGTGGGGCCTGGGACAAAACCATCCCAATAATTAAACTCCCTTGGGTCATACAGCAGGAGGAATTCTGGAGAAGGGCCCAAGGCCCAGTTCCCGGAATAAGTCATCCATCTCTCTGGGCCTCAGTTTCCCCATGTGTACAATGGGTGGCTTAGACAAGGGGCTCTTCCAGCTCTGCAGCATTTGGGTCCTCTGACTTGGTAGCTGTGGCCCAGAGAGGGTGTGTCGGTTGACAAAGCCACAGTAGGTCAGGAGCAAGCTCAGTGTGTTGAATACCTTGCAACAGTGGTTCCCCAGCCTGGCTGTGCCTCAGAATCACCTGCAGAGCTTTTAAAAAATACGGATTCTCCAGTCCCACCCCATGCTACTGAATCTGAATTGCTCCAGTTTAATAAACTTCTCAGATGATACTGACACTCAGATTTAAGAACTGCTGCCTCCCACCTACCATGCCACCTCCCAAAGGGAAGGCTAGCGGCGTGCATGCGTGTGGGTGCTGTGTGTGTGTGTGTGTGTGTGTGTGTGTGTGTGTGTAGGGTGGGCGGCAGCCTAACCCAGCCCCTAACCCCCCCAGGCCATAAGGTCATTCCCTCCCACACCCCTCCATAGGAACATTTGTTGGAGCTGCCCGCCTGCTAGGTAGGGGTGGCACAGAGTGTCCGTGATGAGACAGGGACGTGGGCGGTGTCCATGGCTGACTCTCAGTCATCCCCATCAGAATACTGACATCCTCCATACCAGGAGGTACAGGGCTGCTCCCTGAGCGACCCAAGCACCCTCCCGTGCCCTGTCCGCTCGTGGAGTCTCCTGCAGCCCCTCCCTTATACAGCAACTAAAGGGGCGATGGCTGGTACGGCAGGGCCCTGTTCCTGCAGCTGTGCGCAGGGCTGTGTCTGTACAGCCCCTGCGTCAGCCTGTGGGACTCAGCTTGGCTTCGGTGTCAGATGAGAACTCCCCGTGGGGACAGCCGTGCCATTATCTTCCCCATTTCAACAAACATTTATCCACGCTTACTCCGTGCCGGGCCCGGGAAACACCAATGTGAGTCAGACCAAGCCTGGCTACCAAGGCGGAAGGAGGATGGGAAGGCGACTTTCCCCCTGAGGCCAGGAGAGGGGATGGCTGCCCAGCTGCCCTGTGCTGGGAATGCCCGCCTGGGCGCCGGGAGCCTGCCGGGGCTGGAGGGGGGCGGCCGGCCCTGTTCGGCCTCACGTCCATCTCTCTTGGCAGATGCAGTCCACGTATGTCCTGCAAGGTCTTCACCTCCACATCCCGAACATTTTCCCCGCCAACTCTGCCAACAGCTCCGTGGCCCTGAGAGCGCAGGGCAGCGGCTACACGGTGAGAGAAGTGTGCGTCCAGCACCCGGCTCAGCCCAGGCTGGGGGCTTCCTCTAAGAGGAGGAAATGAAGCTGCCTTCACACGCCCCTTCCCCAGCTGCAGAGTGACCTAGGATACGGGAAAGCACCTGCAGCGGGGCCGGGGCAGGGGCTGTGCGACACCCAGGCATCCTGCCGACACGCTCGACTGCTCAAAACACTCAGGCCAGCTTCACTCCCCGACCCTGCGGCTCCAAAGCAGGCCTCACTGCCCGGTTTGCACCCCCAGATCACGCACACGCACGTCCCATTCAACTCTACTCTCTTCCCTCTTTCTCTGGGACCCTTGAATACCTAGATCCCTGTCTTTCTCTGAACTTTCTAAACTAGTTCCCTGGCATTTCAGAGACTCATAAAATTAAAGATCTTCAGAGGAGCCGGCAGATAAATGACGTATTTGCCATTGTACTGCATTTCCTTGCCATGGCAGACATCGCTAATCAATCGTGACAGTTTTTCATGTTGATCCCATAAATGTTCCAAGCATCCACCACCAATTGGTAGAAGCTAGAATACAAGAGGAACCTATTTGCCAACCCCAATTTAATCCCATCCCCTAGTTACACAGTGGAGGGATGTGAGTTCCAGAGAGGGGAAGGAGCTGCCCCTAGGTCATGCAGGGACGGTCCGGAGTCCAGGTCCCCTGGCTACAGCCTTGTCTCTACCCTACCTCTCTTGACTTCCTCCCACCCAGATCCCGGAAGCCTGGCTCCTCCTGGCCAACGTAGTGGTGGTGCTGATTCTGGTCCCTCTGAAGGACCACTTGATCGACCCTCTGCTGCTGCGGTGCAAGCTGCTTCCCTCAGCTCTGCAGAAGATGGCGCTGGGGATGTTCTTTGGCTTCACCTCCGTCATCGTGGCAGGTGTGTAGTGGGTGTGGGGCGGACGCTGGCCTTCGTCTTTCTTCCATTTCAAAAGGATTTGAAGGCATTTGTAAAAAATAAAAGGGAGGCAGGGGGGCTTGGCTCAGCCAAAGAAGACTTTCATGCTGTGGCACAGCCCTGAACCCTTCCCACTTAGTAATTGTATGATCCTGAAGTCACTTAGGGTCTCTGAGCTGCATCTTTAAAACGGGGATTGCAGCCATTCGGACTCTGAGCAGGGCCTGTCTGTGTACTCTAATGGAGGGTGTCGTGAGGATCAAAGGAGATGAAGTCTGTAAAGCACCCTTTAACGTGCCTGGATCACAAGTAGGAACTGGAGAAAATTAAAGCTCAATAAACATTACTATGTTGAAAGTATGAAAACCAAACTAGATTATTTTTCAGTATGTGCTTTTAAGCATTTTGTCCTATTTCATCCTCACAATAATCCTGGGAATTTTATTCATGCTTCTTGCATAAGGAAACTGGATCTCAGAGAAGTTAAGTGATTTGCCCAAGGTCACACAGCTAGCCAATGATAGGGCCAGGGCTGGAACCCATGTCCTCTAACACAATGTCCACCGTTCAATCCTCTAGAGTATTCTACTACAGCATAGCTATCTCACAATTAATGAAAGGGTAGGAGATAAAATAGTTAAACTTGAAAGCCAGGTTAGAAATACTACAGCAATACTTGAGGTTACAGTAGAGAGGTCACATGATATCACAGAAAGTAGGCCAGCTTTGAAACCAAACATACTGGGGCTCAAATCCATCCATGCCTAATTATCAGCTGTGTGACTGTGGGCTGGCTGATTGCTTAACCTAAGTTTCACCTCCTACATTGGTAAGAATGCACACTTAAGTGCCTAGTACACAACAAGCCCTCAATTAATAACAGTTGTTACCGAGTGCAAAACCTAGCTCTGAGCTTCCTGGCAGCCAAGGCAAAAAGTGAGAAGTTGGAAGTGAAATCTTGACTCCTACCCGCTGGGCCAATATTCTTTTCCTTACCTGCTGCCCAGTCAATCATTGGCTACTTAATGAGTACCCACCACACACCAAACCTCTGCTGTGAGCTAAGCCAGTGTCCCAAACCTTTTTGACACCAAGGACTGGTTTCATGGAAGACAATTTTTCCACGGACCGGGGGGAGGATGGTTTCAAGATGATTCAAGCACATTACATTATTGTGCACTTTATTTCTATTATTGTTTTTTTTAATTTTTTTTTCTTGCTCCCCCCCATTATTACATTGTTAACCTCCCTGTTAATGATAATCTGTATTTGCAGCTGCTCCCCAGCGCTAGCATCACCACCTCAGTTCCACCTCAGATCATTAGGCATTAGATTCGCATAAGGAGCGCACAACCTAGATCCTGCGTCTGCACAGTTATGAGAATCAAATGAAGCTGCTCATCTGACAGGAGGCGGAGCTCAGGTGGTGATTCGAGCAATGGGGAGCAGCTATAAATACAGACGAAGCTTTGCTTGCTCACCTGCCACTCACCTCCTGCTGTGCAGCCTGGTTGCTAACAGGCCATGAACCAGTACCAGTCTGCAGCCAGCGGGTTGGGGACCACAGGGCTGAGCTGCCTGGGGTGGGCCTGGCTATAACCTCCCTCTTCTCCCCCACCAGGAGTCCTGGAGATGGAGCGCTTACACTACATCCACCGCAACGAGACTGTGACCCAGCAGATTGGGGAGGTCCTGTACAACGCAGCACCCCTGTCCATCTGGTGGCAGATCCCTCAGTACCTGCTCATTGGGATCAGTGAGATTTTTGCAAGCATCCCAGGTACCCTGGATCCCTTCCTCTGCTCTTGCACCAGTGATGGTGGTGCCTCCAAGTCAGGGGGCCCGTGGGTGCAGCCTCCAGGGCTCATCTGCATGGAGGTGTTTTCTGAGCAGGGCTGCATTCACCCAGTGGGGATTTATTGGCAGTAGTTCATGCCAGCCACTGCGATCCGCACTGGAGATCTGGAGGCGAGCAAGGCACTTCCTGCACCAGCTGTGTCTTTGCAGTTGCTGTGCCCTCCACTTGAGATTGAAGGCGAACTCCTATTTCCCCTTCAATTGCGATACCAAGGCCCATGGGCAGAGGGCGTCCTCCCTTCCTGCCCTTTATTCATTTCTATCACAGCACACAGCAGTCTGTGTCATAATAATGCATTTCTCTGTCTGTCCCCCTGGGGCTGGGAGCTAGAGCTGCAAGGCTGGGGCAGAGGAACCTAGAGCTTCCTTGCTGCAGAGCCCAGGGCTAGGCTGGGTGGGACATAAAGATAAACTGGGGGGAGAAAGTCATGCAAGCAATAAACCAGTGCAGTGCTGGAGAAGTGACCACAGACCGTGGTGGGGGCCGCTGGCATGGCGGGGAGAGGGCAGGTGATCAGGTGGGAGGAAGGACCTCACAGGCAGAGGGAACAGCATAAGCGAATACCCAAGCCTTGTGGGGAATGTGGGGGACAGGGCTACAGAGGCGTGGGGGTAGGGGTGGTATAGGGGATGGAGGTCTTATGCGCTGAGCCTGGATCTTGGAATTTCTCCTGAGGGCAACAGCACCCCCCACCTCCACTCTCCAAGGGGCTGTGGCAGAGAAAGGACCCCATCAGAGATGCTTTAGACAGACCCATCTGGCTGCGTGAGGAGGACGGGAGTCAGGACAGTTTAAGAGACATTTGCAGGGGCCGGGCAGGAAGTAACCAGGGCTGGGGTTTGACCCAGGGCAGAGTGGAGACAGAGAGGAGGACCTACATTTAGAACAGATTTCAGAGATTGAATCAAAATGATGTGGCTATGACAGTGCAGGTGGGCAGAGGGTGGGGGACAGAGGGAGGGTGAAGGTGGCGCTGGCTTGGAGGTGCTGTGGCTGAAATGGGAAACCCAGGAGGGGAGGAGGGGAGCCAGGGCTCTTAGGGCAACGCACAGTGTCCAGGTGGAGGGGTTCAGCCAGAGGGGAAAGTGTCACTGGTGCTGAGGTGTGGTCACGGCCTGGAGGGAGGCTTGGTGGGGGTGGGGAGGTGGGGGTGGCCCAGCGGGCAGGGCCCAGGCCTGTCCTCTGCTCCTCCACCAGCCCCTGTGGCCCTCCCACCTCCCTCTCTGCAGGCCTGGAGTTTGCCTACTCAGAGGCCCCGCGATCCATGCAGGGCGCCCTCATGGGCATCTTCTTCTTCCTGTCTGGGGTGGGCTCGCTGTTGGGCTCCAGCCTCGTGGCACTGCTGTCCTTGCCGGGGGGCTGGATGCACTGCCCCAAGGACTTTGGTGAGTGTGGGGGCCTCCACAGGAGTGGGACACAGGTGGAGGGAGGCTTGGAAAGGGGGTGGCAACTGCTAAGTGAGCCCAGGCAGAACGCAGTAGAGGGCTGCACTCGGGAAAATGGGGGTCTAGCCCAGACTCAGCCAGTCATACAGTGTGGCCTCTCTCCTTGGGCCTCAGTTTCCCCAACCATCAAAAAGGAAGTAGTGAACTCAGTGGAATGCTGCTATTCTGGCTGAAGGTTCACCTGTCTCATGGTATTTGAGTTTCAAGCCCCCTTACGAATAGCTAGCTACAAGGGAGTCGTAGACACCCCAGGAGACTCTCAGGGAGCCAGGTGCTAGAGGGATATCTACCAGCGTCTTCAGATCCCACCCACAGAGCACAGCAGGGAGAAGGTGGCAGATGGGGCATCCCTGCTCTGACCCAGTGCCCACCTGTCTTTCCCCAGGGAACATCAACAATTGCCGGATGGACCTCTACTTCTTCCTGCTGGCTGGCGTGCAGGCGGCCACAGCCCTCCTATTTGTCTGGATCGCCGGTCGCTATGAGAAGGCGGCTCAGGGCCCAGCCTCCCACAGCCGTTCCGGCAGGGACAGGGGCTGAACACATCCCGTCCCAGCCCCTTGCTTCTCTCCACGGACACAGACAGCAGCAGTCCCAGCTGTGGTTTCCTTCTCAGTTTATTCTGTACCCAACATTAGAATGCAACGGTTCCCATAAATAAGGGGCATGAGCCCTTCCTCATGACCATGGTCCATGACAAGGGGCGGGGCGGGGGGCCTGGGTGGGAGGCCTTGCAGAGGACCACGCAGGGGACTTGAATAACAAGCACCGGAGGACCTGCAGGAAGGGCAGGCTAGAGCTCGCCGGGACCCCATATTTGCTGCGCCAAGTGGGCTGGGGAGGGTCAGGAGCTGCCCCGGATCCTCTCCATGTAGTTACGAAGCTCCTCGGGGTCCTTCAGCCCCATGTCCTCACACACCCAGCGGATATCCTCCTCGCCTGCCACCAGGATGGACTGCACGGCAGGGCCCCCTACGGGCTCCTCAGGCAGCTGGGCCGGAGGGGCTGGCGCAAACGTCACAAACTCTACACGCTTCCGCCGCCCCCCAGCTTCCTTTCGGGCCAGGGTGCTCGAGGAGCTGCAGGTGCCCCCAGGAGGGCAGGGGGCCTGAGTCGGGGCCTCCCCTCCTCCCCCACTCTCACAGGGGCAGCCCCCCTCCCCCTTGGGCAGGCCAGGGGACCGCCGGTCCAGCTGGCGGCTCAGTTCCTCCTGGTCGGTGCCCAGCCAGACCCAGTTGTGGGGCTGGGGGGAGGCGGGGTCGGGGGCACTATCGGGAGGCTCTTTGCGCTGATACCGCAGCACGAAGACCACCCCATTGACCAGGAAGATGAGGATGGCTACACAGAAGATTCCCAGCAGGGCGTACATGCCCAGCTCTAGGTCGGTGACACGCTGAGGGGCGGGGACCATCTCCTCCTCCTCTTCCTCCTCTTCCTCCTCCCTGGCTTCTGCCTCCTCCTTCCTGGCCTCCTCCTCCTCAGCAGGCTCAAACTTGCCCCTCACACCCACGCCGGCCCCCGCACTGCCTGCCACCCGCCGCTCACCACCTGTGCTGGCTTCTGTGGCTGGCGGGCTTTGGGCAGGGCTGGATGGGAGGGCAGGGGCCGGAGTGGGGGCAGGAGGCAGCCCCAGCCAGGCAGTGCCAGAGGCCAGGGGCACACGGTGGCGGCCCCGGCGGCAGGGCTCGGGCGGGTGCAGAGCCACGTGCAGGGGCAGCCCCTCGGCGCCTGCCCCACTCACCACCACCCCAAGCTGGGCACCCTGCTCCTCGCCTGGCAGGACAGCACCAGGCTCCTCGGCAGAGACAGACAGTCCCAGGTCACGACGGTCGTAGAGCTCAGCGGGGGCCAGGGTGTGGTCAGAGAAAGACAGCCATAGGGAGAGGGCCACCTCCTGTGGGGCACACAGACACAGGCAGAGACACGCGAGGGTACGCACGCATGCACATAGAGACCACTCCCACAGAGACAGGCCACACGGAGGAGGAGAGACCAGAGAGAAAACAGAGACACAGGCAGATGGACAAAACACAGGGAGAGAGGGGATGTGTGTCAATCACCTGTCTGCCACTCAGCCCCGGGGTCTGAGTCATTGGGAGGGTCCTCAGAGCCATCTAATCAACCTCCCACTGCCACACTCCAGCCACTGCTTGATCACCTCCAGCCACAGAGAGCTCACTACCCCACAGGGAAGTCAGTCCTCACTCTGAAAACCCTAAGGTTAAGGGTCGAGGTACCAGGGCCCCCTTCTTCCCATTCCCCTCTGCCATCAGCCCCCTGGAGATGTTGACCTCATCCCCCTGACCCCCAGCTGTCACCTGCTTTGGGGTGGGAAGGGCTGACTGTGCCCAGCATGTGGCTGTGACCTCCCCAGGGTGGGCAGTACCCCGGCTCAGGGCCAAGGAGATGCCCATCACCGGCTGCACCCGCAGTTCCAGCACCGAGACTTTGTCGTCCGTCACAGCCAGTGCCTGCTCCCCCAGAATGGAGTCAGACAGCGGGGAACGCACCTGAGGGTGGGAAGGAGCTGGAGGTGGGGGGCCTCCTACACAGCCCCCCACGCAAAGGGATCTGTCTTCTGCTCCCAGCATCCTCATAGGCTGCTCTCCACCTTTTGCACCCCAACTACATGCCCTGTACATACCTGAACCCCAATCCCACACCGAGGGGACAGTTCCCTCCTCCAGACCTGGCCCCCAGGTACCCACACCCCAGCCCTTCATACCTAAAGGACTTCCCCCCTTACACACCACCCGGTCCTCACCCAATCCTGCTATGCTCATGCCCTCCCCAGGCACACCCTGGGCGCCCCCTACACTCTTCACCCCTGCCCGTGAAGGTGGCTGGGGGCCACCTACGCCCTTCTCAGGGAGTCTGCTCCGCAGCGTCCCCTGCTGGCTCACCTCGATGGAGGTGACACCCGGCTCCCGGCCCATCAGGACGCGGCCGCCCTCCAGCGAGGCTACACGCGGGTCCAGCACATGGGCGTGCGGTGCCACGAGGTGGGACACGTCTAGCAGCCAGTCGGGGCCGAGCAGGTGGGTGAGGCGGCGGCCGCCGTCCAACGGGTGAGCCGCGAAGGGGGCGAGAAAGCGCACTCCGGCGCGCTGGTACTGCAGGCGGCAACCGCGGGCGCGCCGCTCCTCCTCCGCCGCCTCCGCCTCTGGCTCCGCGGGCCTGCGGGGCGGGGCGTCAGCGCAGGCCCCGCCCCCAGCCAGGAGGGCCCCGCCCCCAGCCCCGCCCTCCGAGGGCCAAGCGGCTGGAGACCCCCCCAGCCCTGCCCGCCACGCCCGAGCACGCTGCCCCCAGGAGGCTCCAGGTCCTCAAACTCAGCCGCCAACCCCCGCCACTCTTGCTCCCACGGAACACTAGTAGAGACCCTCTCTCATGGGGATGGGACGCCTCCCCCCGCCCGGGGGTATTCAATATTTTACTGAGCTCTGTGCCATCTTAGGCTTTGCGGACACAGCAGTGACCAGAAGAGACAGAACCCCTGCCTTCACAGGGCTTTCATCCTCAGAGGGGGAGCGTGGGAAGGGTCAGCAGGCAACAGGGAGCGTTAACCAGCACGCGACATAGATTAGAAGTGGCAGGTACTGTGGAGAGAAGTGAGGCCGCGAAGGACGAGGTCGCAGTTTCAAATACAGGGGTCAGCGCTTGGGCGGTCAAGGGCAGGGATGGGCCGAAGGAACTGCAAGCACCTGGCAGTTTTTCAGACCCCAGCGTGGGCCCGTGGCTGTGTCCCCTGTACGCCTCTCAGTCCCGGCGTGACTTTGCCAAGGCCTGCCAGCTCCCTCAGGCCTCCACTCACCCTTCAGCCGGGCCAGGGACCCTCCAGCCGCGGACCTGCTCCAGGGTGGTGTCGGTCAGCTCAATGCGCAGGGGCAGCAGCGGGGCCCACACGGTCAGCCGCAGCGAGGCCCGGAGCCGGCGCCACCAGAAGTCCACCCGCACCCCGCGACCTCCCCGGCTCTCCTTGCCAGCCACGAACACAGCATCACAGGCCTCAGACACCTGTGGGAGGGCAGAGGGCAGGGGGGTGAGATAAGCCACAGAAGACAAGCAAGCTTGGGCCAAGGAGGGCAGCCCTGACCCCAGGCCACAGGAAGGACTGCAGCTGAAATTCAGTTCTGCAGTTCACTGTAATGCACCCCATGGTGGGCTTGTTGGTTAAGCTACTGTCCTTAGTTTAAGAAGATTTTACCATGCATCCAGGGTACGCTCCCCGTGGAGGAACTGGGCCATTCCTTGACCTCCCCTGGGGTCAGGTGGGGAAACTGGCTATTCGCATACAACAATGTCTTCCTCCTGGCAGAGCAGGGGTTTGAACCCGTAACTTTGGCCCCTTATTTATGCTGACCTCTGGCATTGGTACTGGAGCCATCTGGTAACCAGCTATAGCTAAATAGGCAAAGTTGGTAGGCAAGGTAGACCTATCCACCCAAGACCCTCACCTACCCAAGGACGTACATGTGAGCAAAGGGCTGCCACAAGTGGCAAAAGAAACTGTCCCCATTCAGGTGGCTGGGATCTGTGTAAAGGCAGGTGCCATGCTTCCCCTCTTAGAACTTCAAGATGGAGAAAGTTCTCCACCCTTTTTTTTTAATTTCACAGTCTCCAATAATAATAATTACTTTTACCATTATATAATTATCACACTATGTTATTATTAAAACAGCAATAGTAGCTGCTGTTGTTTCTGTTCCTGCTATCTACTGGATACTGTTTTAGGTGCTCTTAATTCTTACAACAACCCAGAGGTATAGTCCCATTTTAAAGTTTAGGAAACTGAGGCTCAGAGAGGTTAAGAGACTTGCCTGTGATCACACAACTAATTGACAACAAAGATGTGTTTCAAACTAAAACTTCCTGCTCCCAAAGTACGTGCTTTTAAGTCTCCCAGGCCGGCTCACTTGCCAATGCAATAATGAACGCGAACGCGCCCAAGGTGGGAGCCGTTGGGATTACGTAGCTCCCACTGGACTCTGAAGGGGTGGCTGAGACAAAAGAAGTTGAAGGTGTGGTTCCCCCCATGAGGTTTCTGGTCTGAAGAAGCCGTGCTCTTGGGGACCCACATGGGGAAGGAGGAAAGCCATCAGTGCGTGACTATGCGCACACAAATGCACACTCACACGAGGCGGGTGCCTGCCACTCACCTGCAGGACCTGTGTGTTGGCAGACTCACAGCCGATGTGCTCTGTCACCTCCACCAGGGCACCCCCGCTGTCCACGGTGACAAGGCGCACGGGGACACGCCGGGGCACTCCAGTCAGTGGTGCCGTATTCACCAGCTCCTCAGCCTGCAGGTGGAGGAAGAGCTCAGCCCCAAGCCCCTCCGCTCATGGGGCTCCTAGGACTTGGCCCAGCCTGGCAGGGCAGACACGGGGGCCCCCTTACCTTGGCCAGTGGGATGAGGGCCCTGATGTCCCGCTCTGACACCAGGATTTCCCACACCATTTTGTCTTTCTCTGCTTCGGGGGCCTGACCTGGGTACTCCAGCTGCCACGTGACGGGGCGAGTGACTGCCACGGCCCCACCCATGCCATTCTCCACCACAAAGTCCACCCACAGGAACTCGGACAGTTCGAGGACACTGCTGGCCAGAAGAGAGAGAAACTGAGTGCTTGCTGGCCTTCAGACATGGCCCAAGCACTTCCTGCATTTACATGGTATGACGATCCCTACTTTCCACGTATGGAAACTGAGGTATGGAGGTTATGGAACTCACCTAAGACTACACGGCAGAAAGTGGCAGGGCGAGGATCTAAACGCAAGCATCTCAAGCACCCCAAGCTCTTACCTACTCTTGGCCTCTCCAAGACCCGTACAGCCACTTCGCCACCTCCCAGCAGGTTGCTGGCTCCCCTGCCTGCCTGGGTCCCTTCCGCTAAGATCTCTGCTTTCCACAGCCAGTGAGGTGGCGGAAAGCATTGAGGTCAATTCCACCACGGAGGGAGATTCACGTCCAAGACCTGAATGATAACCCTCAGAGCTTCCTTTGATCCAAAACCTAAGTGCTGGCAACTGTCCCCGGTGCCTGATATGCAGTATCTTATTTTATTTTTACAAACCCTAAGGGATACATTATTATCCCCATTTTACAAGTGAGGACACTGAGGCTTGGTGGGGGGGATGTTAATTGGCTGGTCCAAGGTTATTCATCCAAAAAGTTTGAAACCGAACCAGGATTCAAACAGGGGCTTCAAAGTCCATGGCCTTGGCCCAAGCTCAGGGCACAAATAAGAAGAGATCGTAAGTGTTCAGAACTTCAGCTGGGCTTTGGGGCCCGGAGGAAGGGGCCCAGTTAGCGGGGGCAGGGGGCAGGTAGTGGCTGTGAGGGCTGCAACTGGGTGGCCAGGATAGGCTGGCATCACCCAGGATAAGACTCACAGATATCTGCTGTGCCTGACACGGTGGCTGGGTCTGGGCAAATAGTGGCTGAACGAATGATATGCCTGCTTTGTGCTGCTTTCTTTAAAAAGTCTGTTTTTTTGCCTGATCACACAGTGATCTGGAGGTAGCACGGCAGCCCCCTTCCCTTGGGCCTCCAAATCTGCCCACTAGCACTCTAGGACCAGCCCTCCCTCCTCTTCCTCCCAGGCGAGGGGAGTTGCCCACCTGGAGTCTGGCCCCGTGCGCCCGGCGCGGTGGCAGGTGATGAGGGTGGTGTGGTGCTTGGAGCCCTTGAAGCGGTCCAGCTTGACAGTCCAGAGGGTGGGCTGGGCTGGGCGGGCGGCTGTCACGTGCAGCCCTTTCTTTACCTTGATCCTGGGGGAGAGGTTATAGGTCCGTTTTGGCAAGGTAGATACTCAACTGTGGACTGGATCCGAGGGGGAAGACAAGGGGCCAAAGCCATCAGCCTCCTTCCGGTCTGGCCTCCCCGGCTCCGGTCTGAATGTCCTCCTGGCCATCCTCCAACCCAGAAGGACCCCACCTCAGCGCAGGTCATACCGTAAAGCTCTCCCCCACCTACAGACCACTGACGACTCCCCGCGGCCCACAAGGTCAAGCCTTAGCCTGCCATTTGAGGCCCTCCAGGGTCTGGTCCAGTCTCGCCTTCGGCCGTGCCATCTCTCCATGCACCGTCTGCTTCAGCTACACCACAGTTCTCCCCACATGCGCGCACACAGCTCTTCCCCACGCACGGCTCCAAGCCTTTTCTAGGCTGTGCCTTCTGCCAGGTCCACCCTTCCTTTCTGTATCTACTGATTCTTTAAGCCTTCAACAACTCGAATACCATCTCCCTTAGAAAGCTTCTGCAGTGGCAGGATGAATTCCCCCCTTACAGCACCCCTGACCCAAGCCCCTGCAGCATTTTAAACCTTCATCAGAGCACACACACCCACATGCCTGCCAATCCAGTTCGTGCCCTGCCCTACTGGGGGCCCCTTACTGCCAAATGGGCACTGGGCCTTGCTCATGCGTGGATCTCCAGAGTGAGGACACAGGGCATGACATACTGTAAGTGTCTAGCAGATCCGTTTAATGAGTGTGTGAGCGAGCACAGGAGGGCATGAGAGACAGGGAGACACACAGAGATGGGACATGCACAAACCCCATATGGGAGAGACATGTCACACTCTGCAAATCCTTGTCAGTTGGATTGGGTAGGTGGGTGGGGGGCTGCTTTGGGGGAATTCCTGCGGAAAAGGACACAAAGAATGGGCCTTCCTATGAGGAGTAGAAGGTTCTGTCCAAAGGTTAGGGACCTGTGGTGAGGGTGACAAGCAGGGACAACGTGCAGATGAATGTGATTGGGGCACATATCCCTCTCTGGGGCATTAGAGCAATACCCCCGGGCACCATGTTTTCCAGTTTCCAAGCCCTTTTCTGGTTCCCCTCCCCAGGGCAATGTTAGTCCCATTGGACAAAGAAATTGCAGGGAGGTGCCAGGGAGAGGGGAGGCTTCCTACTTCTGACTCCAAATTCAGGGCTCTGCCAATAATAGGGTCCTGCCAGGGCGATTACACCTCTTTGCCCAGAAGGGGTTTGGAGGACCCATGTTTTGCAGAAGTCAAAAATTCCAGCAAAGACCCCTAAGAAGAGCGGGTACCTGCCCTTAGTCTTCCTGCAGAGGTTCCCACCCCGACCCATGCCCAGGGCACAGTGCTCACCGCAGGGTCAAGAGGCTGGCTGTGAAATTGTGCCGAAGCAGGAGGGTGGCACTGAAGAGCTGGCCAGGCCGCACTGGCACGTCGGGCACCCGCAGAGTCACAGCCTCATCCAGGGGTACCTCCTGGTACTGTGGAGGGTCTGCCGGGCGCAGCTCCACACCACCCACGGGCAGGGCCTGCTCCCCGGGGTCCTCCTCCCCTCCGGGGCCACAGCCCCCAGGTCCCTCAGCGGCGGGCTCCAGTGTGTAGGCCAGCTCAGCCCGTGTGGCGGAGCCCTGCGAGAACCAGTGCGAGGGGAACTCCAGCTCCACCACGCAGGCTCCCAGCGATGGCTGCGAACACACAAAGGCCGTGGTTGGCACGGGACAAGGGGAGGCGGGGGCTTGGGGGAGGGAGAGGATTCCCAGCACCCATGGCAGGAAACCCAGAGCTGGAGGGGTCCATTAAAAAAAGGGCTGGCACCAATCAGAGGGTGAAAAAAAAAGGGGGCGGGGAGCCAGCATGGGCCAGAGACCTATCCCAGGTCACACAGCAAACTAGCCACATGGCTGGGAAGGTCTAGGTTTCAGAACACATCTGCAGACCACTCTTCTGCCTTTGGGAAAAGTCTCACGCCAAAGTGAGCCAATCCCAGTGCCCGACCCAAACCGTGCCCCAAGACTGCCCTGACTAGAACTCAGGCTTCTCAGCATCCTAAAGCTCAAGAACTATCTCTTTCCAAAGGATTCCTGTGCTAGACTCCAAAATAGTGGAAACAGCAATTATGAAAGTAATACTAACAATAATGCAAAAACACTTGCCGAATGACTACCTGCTATAAGCTGTTCTTGCGTCCATCTCATTTATGCCTTACTCCCATTCCATATGAAATAGGAATTGTTATTACCCCATTTTACAGATGAGGAAACTGAGTCTCAGGGAGATTAAGTTACTTGCCCAAGTCACACATGATGGGCTGAACTCCTGGGGGCCCTAAATTACCTTTCACAGCACTGAAAGCTAGTGGAGCGGGAATGGAGTCAGGTGGCCTGTGACCCGCAAACTTCCCAGGAGTGGTGAGCCCTTTCCCCTCCACTGTGGGACCACCCTTTGGCTGGCATAGCAGCAGCAGCAGGGCCAGCCTAGGCGGGGCCCGCCCACTCACCTGGAAGCGGCAGGCTCCGTGGGCAGTGCCTGCAGGGTGTGTGGCGTGCAGACGGGCACAGGGCAGGCTGCCAGGCCCCGGTGGCCAATCTTGCCCTTTGAGGTGGAAGAGGACCCGGGCATGGGGCTCCGCTGGAGTCACCGCCGCCTCCACTGAGACAGCCCGCACGTCCCACGGGACCGGCCGTTGGTGGGGCTCAGTGACCTGAGGAGGGACCACCTGGAGGGAGAATGAGGAGGCTCGACAAAGCAGGAGGTGAAGGGCAGCTAGATCTGGGAAGATGGGATGCCCAGCTTCCAATCCCAGCCTCAGTTTCCCCCCTGGAAAATGGGGAGCACAGCTGGAGCTGGAGAAGGCCCCCGAGCCACACACAGCAGACCTCAGGCATTGAGTCCTGTTAGCCCGAGGGTGTCTGGTGCTCCTTCCTTACCTGCTGAGTGGCAAAAGGTGGGTAGGAGGCCCGGAGAAGTGGCTGGGCCCTGGGCCAGGGCTGCAGGAGCAGAAAAGTCTCAGATCGGGAGCCCAGAGAGGAGTTGGCAGGTGGGTAGCGGCCCACCTGCTGCACACGGAAGTGCTCAGGAGCATCCAGGAGCTCCAAGGCTGCTGGCAGGTAGACAGGGTCCAAGGGGTCCTGGTCACAGTCCACTGAAGAGGGATAAGGGGTAGAGATGGTGACAGCTCCAGATATGGCAGGGGCTGAACTGAGCTCCTGGGGCACAGTGGTGGTGGGCAGTGGAGGGAGAAAAGGGCTGTAAATGTCCCATGCACCCAGGATGCCCTAGGAATCTCCCCATTTCACAGGTGAGGTTAACTGAGGCTCAAAGAACCTCACATAGGTAGCACACAGCAAAGCCAGGATTTCAATCTGAGTCCAGCACTGGATGCCAGCTTCCCAGCCATCCCTCCTTCTATAGACATGGCCTTCTCCTCTCCAGCAGAGCCTTCTCAATGCCTCCCCTCCCCCATCTCTGCCCTCTACCTACTTGCCTCTGACACCAAGGCATTTCTGGGGTATGACTCTCCCCAGATAGGTCCTATTCGGTAAACGATGGTGGCAAGGTGAGGTTTGTACAAACTAGAGACCCTTTCTCTGCCCCTGGGCCCTTGGCTAGACTTGCCCAGGCATCCACCCTCCCTCCCCCGTCACTGCCATGGCAACCCACACCATCTTTCCAAGCTTGCTCCCTTCGTCCCTGTACCCACTGGGTACTGGAGCGCCAGAGGGGGATGGGGGAATGCCGAAGAGGTCTGTGAAGCTACTTGTGTGCCCTGGGGGTGGTGTGGGGGCCGTGAGACTGGGGAGATGGTCAAAATATTCAGTCACCGGAAAGATAAAGGATCACTAAGGCCATATTGGTTTGTACTATTAGCCCTAACAATAATAATTAACGTGTTTTGAACGCTAACTATACACAGGTACCAGTTTAAACATTTTGTGTGTATTTAACTCTTTCAGTCTTTGTAATAACTCTGTGAACCAGGCTCTTTTATAATACTATGAATCCCGTTTTGTGGACATAGGAAATGAGGCGGAGAGGTTAGGGCACTTGCCCGTGGGCCCACAGCTGGAGAGCGGGGCAGCTGGGAGGTGAGCCCAGGTGTTAACCATTAGACAACCCTGCCTCTCCGTTGCCCACCTCAGCCCGCACTCTGCCCTGCAACAGTGCCTCCTGCCCGCTTCCCTCCCAGGACTATGTGTCCCCTCCTCTGCCCGGTGGCACCTCCCTCCTCCTTTAGGGCCAAGAGTGAATTGCCTGAGAAGGGGGAGGAGAGTTGCCTCCCTCTCCAGGAAGCCCTTCTTGGTTATCTGCCCTCCCACCAGTCTCCTTAGTCTTTTGGAACCCTGGTTGCCTCCTCTGGATTAGTTATCTTCCTATCAACCCGCGACCCTGTCTTACTTATGCTGGAGTTCCCCAAGCTGGGAAGCTCTCTGCAGAGGACTTCCTGGGAGCCTGGAGACCTGAGTTTAAGTCCTAGTCTGCCTGAAAACTTGGGTCAGTCATTAGCATCTTGGAGCCCCAGTTTCCCCACCCGTAGAAGGGGCAGGAGCATTTAGCGACACAAACTGTGGAGCTCTGTCTGAAGGAGGGATTATTGCTGCTGCATAATGGATGTGACAAGGCTTTCCTCCTCTCTCTGTGGGAGGGACCTCCCACCTGGTCCCTCAGGGTGGGGAGCAGGTGGCTGAAAGCAGCCCCATAGCAGGACTGGGGGTGGAGTGGGGGGAATTGGTTTCAACCTCCTTCCAGCCCTCCCCACCAAAGAACAAGTGTCTGAGAAACTCCCACTGCCCCCCTTCCCTCCCAGCCCCAAGCTAACAGGTGAGTGACTACTGCTCCCTTGGGGGTAGCCCCTGGCCTCCTAGCCTCCTGCTACTCCATTGCCTCCATAATTACAAGATGCTCTTAGCCAGACTCCCACGGACTCCCATCACCCGAGCTCAGCTCCCTCGGCGCGGGTAGGAGCGTAGAAAATACCTCACTGTCCCTCACTCTTCCGTGGCGTCATTCACCCTGCAACCACAGCCTGGCTCCCCAGCCCATGCCAAAGGCCCCCTCCCATCAGGGACGGAGCCTCACAGGGACTCAAGAAGGCAAGGATGGGGGGCCATCCCTGGAGAGCCCTCGGGGCAGGGCAAGGGGGCTGCATATCTCTCAGGTCCCAGGCAAAGAAGCTGCTTTCCATTCCCGCGGGGGTGGCTTGGTTGTGGGGGGAGGCTAGGAGCCCCGAGAGTGCAGCTCTGTAGACCGCAGATTAGAGATGGTGGTGACGCCGGAGTGCCTGGGACAGGGGCAGCCGGGTTAGATGCCCCGGCTGAGGGGACGCTTGCAGAAGGTGCGGGGCCGCGGAGAGGATGGTGGCCGAGCCCCTGCGCCGGGCTGGTCCTGGGTCCGGAAGGAGTTGCTGGGTCGTGCAAGGCGAAGGAAGCCATAGGGGCGGGCGGCTGGGGGCAGGTTCCCGGGGCAAGACCTCGCCGACCCTCAGGGCACGCTGCGGGGCGACCCCGCTCAGCGTTTAGTCCGAGAACCCGAAGGTTCGCGGCTCCCGGGCATTCCTCGCACCCTGCTCGGCCCGGCCCGCCGCCCCTCCCCTCCCGCTGACCTCTCACGACGTCCAGGGCGAGGGCCACCAGCAGGCAGAGCCAGGGGCCGCAGGGCCCTCGGGGGGGCACTGCCGCGCGCCCCGCCATCCGGGCGCACATCCTTCCCACGGAAGGCGGGGACTAGACGGGGCGGTTCAGGTGGCCGCGCTCCGGCCCCGCATCTCCCGCGCCCGCTCCGCGCCGGCCCGACCCGGCCGGCTGGGTCCCCGCCGCCGCCCGCCCGCGGCTGCAGTTCCCAGACAATGGAGCGGGAGCAGAGGATGGGAGGGAGCGAATCGCAGCACATGGGCTGCCCCTCCGCCCCGCCGGGTCCTAGTGCCCTCCAGATCCCGAGCACCAGAGCGCCCGGGTGCCTGAGGTCGGGAAGAAGGCGCTTCCCAGGAGACCACAACCGGGGACGGCCCGCCTCTGCCCGAGGGACACGATGTGTTCTGTTTGGCTGCGTCTCGGAAGCTCCTGACCAAGGAGGAAAAACCCGCTTCCTCTGCCTCACCCCCGCCCCACAAGCGGTTCACCTGTGAAGGCATCTGACACCTGAATCAGAACCAGAATTCAGGGACATATGGGAACCGAGCTGAATGGGCAGAGAGGGAGGGGGCCAAACGGGCCCGATGCCAACCACCTGGGCCTGCCCTGACAGAGCCCTGGGCCACCCCTATGGAGGAAGGGCTCAGGTGCAGGCAGCTCGTTTCATGCCCAGCCCCACCCCAGGGAGAGGCCTGTGGGCCTAGGAAGGGTGAGGGCAGCCAACACTCCCGAGGAGAGGCCTGCTGCCCGGGGCCTGGCCCAGTGCTGCCTGCCAGGCAGTGTTGGGAGAGGTCCAGAGAGGGGCTCCGGCTGGCTGCACATTAGTATCCCCTGGGCAGCTTAAGAAGAAAAACCCACGTCTGGGCCCCTCCACAAACAACTGATCCAACCTACAGCCCAGTTGGGAACCCTGGCGCAGGAAGCTCCCCCTGTCTGTTGTCTGTTGGGTGGGGAGGAGGGCAGGCAAGTCTTCTCTGGGCTGCCCACCCACTCATAACACTCCAGCACACTGTGGGGAAGGGGTACCGCACCCCCACCCCAACACACACACACATACTATTCCAACAGTGCTGGTTAGTTCCTGGAACTTTGGGGGCAGTGGGGAAAACAATTAAAAAAAAAAGTTTCTGGAAGTTTTCTGCTGGGGGCAAACCTTCCTCATCCCTCACACTCCTGGAGGGAAGGGGACCTGGTACCAGCCTGCCTTTCAGTTCCCTCCCTCCCTACCAGCTTCACACTGCCCCTACAGGGAGAAAGAAGTCTAGAAGGCAGAGCTGCACCACAGAAACCGGTTTAGCAGTAGAGGGAGACATCAAAGCAATCTAGACTTTGAGTAAATACATTTTATTCAGAAGAAGATAATAAAATAGCGTGCACTTTATTTAAAACCAACCAAGAGCTGAAAAAATATATCATTGCAGCTGTGATTCCACATCAAATCTTAACAGTAAGAATTGGGCATTTATTCTTCACACCATGTGCTGGGCCTGGCAGAGAAGGACACCCACCTCCATCATAGCCTCAAAAGGAAGAAGTGGCCTCTAACTGCCAAGAAGGGCTGCGCTGGTGGAGAGGGGACAGCTGGCAGCGCAACCTGCTCCCCGCAGAGCACACGAAGGGAAAGGGGCTGCCTGTGTTCTTCCCAGGCCGCTGGGGTGGGCACCGATCAGCAACTCCTCCTCGGTGGCAGGGAATGGAGGGATGGGACAGAGAACCACATGCAGCTGTGCAGACAAGGAGGCAGGTCCTTCTTCCTCCCTCAGGGTCTCTGAAGGCCCCTCAGGGCATCTGATGTCCATTGCGGGTCCTACTTGCAGGCACAAGCCTACAAAGCAGCAGCCATCTTTTGCTTTGGCTGAAGGGGAATCAAATTCTGAGAGCAACTGCTGTTTTCTTGACACAAAGCAGCCACAGTGCACTTTCCTACATACAGTATGGCAGTGGGCAAGCAGAGGGCCCTGCCGGCTCCGATTAAGGCACTTGTAACGGACTCAAGGTGCACCCTTCTCCCCAGCCCCACAGGACTGAGAGGACCCGGGTTCCCCCTCCACTATCCTCAGGTCCCACATCCCCTTCCCCACTGCGGAGCAATGAAGAGGACAGGAGCATCTTTGAGGACTGTGATTTGGTGGGAGTACAGGGCTGGAGGGAAGAGAAAAACAAGAAGGGAACTGGGGACTCAGCGGAGGAGCAGGACAGGACAGGAGAGCAAGAGCATTAGGAGGAAGCTATGGCCACAGCAGAGGGGAGCCGGTTAAGTCACGGGAGACCGATGGCAGTGAGTTTGCTGAGAGCAGATGCAGAAACCAGAGGGGAGGCTCCTCCAACCTGCCCCGGCCAAGACAGGCTAGGAACAGAGAAAGGGTTAAGAGAGCCAACCCCAGACCGAGAACCTCAGAAGACAGGGCCCTGAGGACCAGCAGTGGGAATGGGCGCTCTCTCTGTTAGCTGGGGACCAAGGCAGGGATCAAGGTTCTGAAGGTTCAGAGACAGGGCAACAAAAGGGCAGGGGCCCAGCAGGAGGGCTGTGCGCCCTGAAGCAACTCAGGTCTTTGGTATGGCGAAGGCACATGGGGCATTCTGCTCATTCCTCCTCCATGCTGCGGGGCCCCTTGGCTGCTCGCCTCTGCCGCCAGCGCAGCTCCTCCACCTGGCGTTCCAGCCCTCGCACCTTGGCCTCCAGCTGGGCCCCCGAGGCCCGGGTGCCAGTGAGCCGGCTCAGCAAGGCATAGAGGGTCAGTAAGGCCAGGAGCAGCAAGGCCCGGGTGGAAGGGTCGGGCACCGACCTCACCAGGGCCACAAAGCCGGCCAGGAAGATGACAAGCTTCAGGCCCCAAAGGATCCTCCCCAGCAGGGCCAGGACCAAGCCAAGGAGCAGGGACAGCAGCCAGTAGATGACCAGGGCCCCTGCTCCCCACAGGAGGAAGGTCTGGACCTGGCCAGGGCTGAGCTTCAGGTCCTCGGTGATGTGATCACCTGGAAAAGGGAGAGGCAGAGTCACACAACCCAGAGAAGTGGTGAGGGGAAGGGGGTGAGAATGTAAAAAGCGGGAGGTGCCAGCAAAGGAATAATCAGTTCTCAGACTCAAAGAACTAAGGGTTGGAATTTCAGCTCTGTTTCTTCCTGCTGTGGGACCTCGCGTAGGTTATTTCCTTTTCTTGAGCCACAGTTTCATTTATTAAATGGGAACAATTCTACCTGCCTCACTGCACCTTGGATAACAAGTAAATGAGATACTACAGCTCAGCATGATGTCTGATGGGATGTATACAACTGGTACATGGTGGTGGTAGTTCTTAGCCTGCTCTTGTGCCACATGTCTGGGGAAACCTGGCAAGTGTCAAGCAGCTTGGAGAAAAGTCTAGACCCTGACAGAGATAAACTCCCACAAACAGGAAGGTACAGGTGAACCTCCCCGATGACCCAGTTGTATACCACTCACCATCTAGCCCCAAGGCATTCAGCAGCTGTGCTGCGATCCCAGACAGAGCAAAGAAGGCCACAGAGATGGCTGATGAGATGGCCCACATCACCTGGGACGAGGTCTATGGAAAGAGCATGGAGTAAGATGAGCCCATAATAACAACGCTGCTCTCCTTTAAGCCCAGTCACCACTGTCCAGGCGAGGCCTGCAGGAAGGTCTCTGACTTGCTTCTCAGCCAGTGGTGAAGGGCCCAGGTCAGAGGTTTGGGGGCCTTGGGCCTGGCTGAAGGGGCCCTTCCACAATCACCTTCCAGTGCAAAGGATGCACGACAGGCCATTTCTCCTTCCTAAACTGGAAAGCAGGACATGTGGGACCTAATTCAACTGATTTGCTGGGATACTCTGGAGGAAAGAGTTAATGTACTTGTGTGTGAATGGGGGGATCATCAAATCCCTTTAGTGATCACCAAACTCTAGTCACCAAATGACATGGTTTATAAAGATGGCTCATTTCCTAGCCTTTCTTGCAAAGAAAGGGCAGGAGCCAGGGAAAGGAGTGGAGCAAAAAGGCCCTAAGTAGGAATCAAATGAGGAGGCGGCAAAAGGCAAGTACCGTGGGGCTTCTTTCTGTGGCACTTGGGGCTCTCTGCACCAGGGATTATGACTCCGAGAAGATGCAGAGCCAAGATGAGGCGGCCATTACCAATACCTCTTCTTTTATGTGCGTAGTCACGGCAGAGACCACCTTCCTTACCTCTGACACCAGGTGCATGGTCTCTGGCCCAATCCAGGCATCCAGTGTTGCCCGCACTGACCGACCTATGTGGGTCAAGAGATCAACTGGGGCCTCCCTCTTCTGCTGGCCTGGTGGTGCAAAGTCTCGATGGGCCTGGGCCGATGCTGAGTGGAGGAGGATGAGGGCCACTAGGACCATCAGGATGGCTTTGAACAGATACCTGCTCCACGGTGGACTGCTGCCTGAGCCTGCCATGACTGGGTCTGCTAGGAGAGAAGCACAGGGTGAGCTGAGGGCCAGAACCGGTAGACATACCCACTCTCCCAGCTCTCATTGCCCCAACAACCTCCCCCACTCCTACCCCCCAGCAAGCACCCAAGCTAAAGCTAGAAAGGGCTGTTAGCTGAGAGAGGAAGGACTGGGACTTCCAACTTAAGCTGGCCATGACCACCTTATTCACGGGTTCCTCTTTCACATTCTTTACCACTTGCATATTGATTAACCAGCGAGTATTATTCAATGTCTTAGAGTGAGTAAGAAGATCTAAAGTGTATACCAGTTATAAAAATCTGAAGGACTGTTTCTGTCTCTTAGGTGCTATGGGCATAAAAGAATTATAAAGACTCTAAAGCTTTGTCCCAAGGAGCTTATAATCTACTTAAGATAAAGCTGATATAGAAAACAACTTAAAAACAGCAGACAAGTAGGGTTACCACTATATAATGATGTAAAGAAAAGCGAGTGTCCCTTCGATAGCTCAGCTGGTAGAGCGGAGGACTGTAGCTAAATCCTCAGCAGGAGAAAAGTGCTCAGTTATGTGCTCAAACAAGAATAACTGCACACATGCCATTTGCTCTGCAGGACCATCATGTGAGGTGGCTATGACCCTCCTCACCCCTAATGGTACAGAGGAGAAGAAACTGAGACTCAGAAGTTAAGAATCTGCTCATGGTCACTGGGCTAAGAAGTAGAAAGGCCAGGATTTGAACCCAAGCTTCTGCTTCCAAATCCCACATTCTCCTTATCAGTTTTAGTGCAGCTACAAAACAAGAAAGAAGAAAAGAAAACAAATCCCACATTCATTGGGAGTCAAGGTATACAGTGGATCTCAACCGTGGCTGCTCATTGGAATTATCTGGGATCCTCACAAAGTACTGATGTCTGCGTCCCAAGCCCAGAGGTTCTGATGTCATTTCTGGGTGCTGCCTAGGCTTAGACCTGCAAAAGCTCCCCCAGTGATTCTAATGCACAAAGCTGAGAACCACCAATACAGAATGACCTCAATTCCCCACTCCCAAAGTAGGTGCTATAGTTTGAATGCCCCCCAAAACTCATGTTGAAATTTAATTGCCGTTATGACAGTATTAAAAAGTGGGACCTTTAAGAGGTGATTAGGTCATGAGGACTCTGCCTTCATGAATGGATTAATGCCATTATCTTGTGAGTGGGTTAGTTATCTCAGGAGTGGGCTCCAGATAAAAAGGATGAGTTGGGCCAACTTCTTCTATCTTCCCCTCTCTGTCTCATGTGCTTGCTTCGGCCTTCTGCCCTTCTGTCCTGGGACGACCCTCGCCAGATGCCAGCACCACGCTCTTAGATTTCCCAGCCTCCAGAACCATGAGCCTAATAAATTTCTGTCCATTATAAATTACCCAGTCTGTGGTATTGTTATAGCAGAAGAAAATGGACTAAGACAGTAGGCAAAGGCTTAAAGAACAACCCTCAAGGAAAGATATAGTTACTAATAAAAAGCTGACATTTAGCTATTAATAGGTCTTGCCACGCACCACCTATCTCACTTAACCCTCACAACCGCCCATCAGACAGGTGTGGCTATTATTCCCTATTTTACTGATAAATAAATTAAGGAGGCCGGGCGCGGTGGCTCACGCCTGTAATCCTAGC